CCAAACCTGCCTTAGCTCAATCCATCAAGAGTCATCAGCTGTAGGAAATCTGGAGCCGACAAGAACTTATAGCTTTTGCCTTTCAACTCATAATGAAGCTGAACGCAGATCACCATCTCATGAAGCGCCCCCCCCGGTAGTCTTCACCAATCTTCTGAAAATGAGCGGAGGCATTAACGCTGTTCTCGAATGACTGTTACGTGTATTCAGCAACTGGGAGAAGGTCAATCCGTGACCTATATCATCAAGTACACGTGTATGGAGTGCCTTTTATACAATATTACACATCACATATGAATCGAGTAATTAAGCTCATCGTGATGTTCGGTGATGCATCACAGACATCTTTCATGTTGCGAAACATCTGCCAATCGCGAAACGAATCAACAGCCCACTGGCTTTTCCGTTCCGTACTCTCAGCAAATCTGTAAATGGAAAATATTAATTAACATTTAAAGACGTTACGCGCTATACAGCAGATTCTCCCTTTCTTAACCCTTATATTTAGCCTTTTTAGACACAAAAAAGCTCTTAAAAAGCTTGCCGAGAATTAGGAATCTTGAGAAAAACTTTTATTGAAATCATCACAATAAATAAATAAACAAACAGCTACATGTACTTTCTTCTGCCAATGTCCACCATTTCCGAGTCTCCTTTGGGTCCTTATATTGTTTTTAGTTCCTTGCAACGTCTGTAAGGGTAGCACATCCCGGTTTTTCATCTGCTTAAGCGACCATGATTGCTGCCAATAGCTCGTCATCAGAAATGACACCTTTTTTTTATGTTTTATTTTGAAGTGGGAAAGGATGTCTTTTCTGTATTTAATGCATGTATCTGACACGCTGGCGGAATCTGCAGTGTCCGAGCGAAATGTGCTTTGCCGTTAAGGAAAATATTACAATCACTTTAAGAACTAGCCATGTTTTCACCTTGGTGTTCAGAACAAAATTGGCATAGGTGCCATTTGAATCAACCTATTTTATGTACTCAGATTGTAGCTGGAGCGTAAAAACACCATAGAACAAAAACAACAATGTAGCTTACGTAACTGTCCCAGCATATCGCTAGATATCACTTGAAGATTGTATTTGCACACATTCGGTAACGGCGTTTTTTTCCACTTACACAAAAACACGACATTCACATAAACAGTCAAGGCGAGTTTTCAAAGGGTGCAGCACCCAGCACGCTGTTCGGGGTGAGAGTGCCCTCAGGCTTTTCCCTCGGGCCATTCTCACCCACGAACGGCGCACTACTCGTGTTATTATCCTCAACCTGAGTGCCAGGGGCATCGCTTTCTCCGCCTCACTCCAATTGTTGATCGCCGCAACTCTCTCGAAATAGATTAGGTAGTTGGACCATGGCCCCGTCAAACTTATCTGGAATCATCACTTGTCTCCGAGCCTTTGTCTCTGGAAGCCTAGCTTCTGAGGAAACTTGTTGCACGATTACCGGGTCCGCTTCCACAAGTACAGGTGTGGTACCGCCCCCAATTACTTCAGTAACTGGTAGTTGTGCGCCCTTGACGTGTTGGCGAGGCATGGCTGACGGCCCCTCCACCGTTGACTTTTGTGGAGCAGCTCTGGTGGCTCCCCTTTGTCTTATTTAGGAAAACTGGCGGGTCACTGAAAGTATAGCCTCTCCCCGGCTGTCTCGACAGGCGTATCTTGGCAAGGTTCTAAGTGGAACGGAGCTACTGCCGTGGTGCTGCATGGAATACGGGGTGATCCTCCGGGGAGTCTCGCCTGCACTTCTTCAGTGTAAATTTTTCTGGTTGAATCAAAGCCCTTACTTCCTTGACAAATGCAGTTTGACTGTGTTCCACATGGAATATTAAATGTTTTGTCCGCCGCCACACCGTCAGCAGCATAGTAAGAAGGGGATACAAATCAATAATTGCTGAAAAATGCTACGGGAAATATATCCCTTTCCCTGTGAATGGCTTCTAAGGTTGATTTTGAGTCCCAATAAATGGAAACGTTTATCAACAGAATGTGTGGCCTTTTATCTTCCAGGTCTTATCAAATTCGCTGTCAGAATACGCGTGTATGGAAGGGGTTGCTCAAAGTTTTCCATAATGATGGTATTTCGTTCTTGTATTTGTTATTTTTTTTCACACATTTAATTCCAACTTGTTATCAAGGTGGTTTACCTTAAAAGAGGGATAACAATTTGAGCTTCAAAGCTCAGTTTGAACAGAGATACCCTTCGCTTAAGCTGCTGATTAACCAACAAGTCTCATATAGTTTTAGAAAACTGGTGTGATGGTAACACTTGACCTTTTCTAGATAAATTTGGAACACCTAAATATGTATAGAAATACGATAGCAATTTGTGAAAATTCTGGCACACTCGTGAGTATGAAAATGGTGATCGCTTAAAGCAAACTTTAAGGTAAGTTTAAAACATTTTTGAGCGTTTGCTTTTTTACTACTCATGTTCCTTTTATTATTTTTGCTCAGTCTCATTCATTCGGAATTAATAAGATAACCGAACCTGCCACTGTGAACTACAGTTTTTTAATTGATTTATTACGTCAGCACAGAGAGCAAATTTTGCAAAATCCTTACTTGTATCTGACAGGCATCGCCATCTCTTGACACAGCGTAACTTATAAAAATTCATTCAACAAACTCTCAGTTGAAAATAAGGACTCGCACATATGAAACTTTACCAAAAAGAGGCATAAGATGCCAAAATCTGGGATAGTTATTGATCACGTTAAATGGACTTCCAGCTTTTCACGTTCTAAGATGCTTTGCCGTTGCTTCCGCTGGGCAGTCAAGCGAGTTTTATATCAACAACTACATCTGAAAGTTAATTATACTTAGAATATTGTGCCCGGTTTCAAAGATTAAGTTAAGAAAAGCACGGCAGCAACAAGGCCTTGAACAAACCAAATTAAGTTTCATAGACTCTACCAACATGATGATGAAGGTCACGAAAAAAGGCAGGGATCATTCCACGGTAAAAATCCTGCGACAGGATTCCTAATACTTTTTCCACGTGAATCGCATAACTGTATAAGACCAACCAAAACACTGAGTTAAAAAAGGTTAGATAAATAACATTTTGTATAGCTGTTCGGTGAAAATTTGCCTAAAGGATTGAATCAAGACGACAGATAACAGTTACACGCTAACCGTCCGCAAGCAGCACATGCCCACCTTCTTCCTGTCTGTTATCCAAAAATTATCCGTCCCACTACCTTTATTTCCTAACATGATATTGCAGACCTTCATCGGTTGGGTCGATCTGTATTGCAAAATTTCTAAACAATGCATGACATTTTCCATTTACAAAAGGATCAAACCTTAACGGGCATTTTCACCCTGAAAAACTCTTCCCATAGCATTTTTCATTGATACAAAAAGTTAAATTTACCCTTCTCACACCACCATCGCTTCCTTTTTGCGTGAATATAATTCTATTTTATTTATTTTTTTTATAATTCTGAGAGTTTCTGAACAAGCCACACTTGTAAAAACTTGAAAAATGTTGAAACTATTCAATAATTCCTTCTTGGCTATACATCAGGGGAATCTATTTTGTAACTAGTGCACATTGATATATTTTATTATGCATTATTCATTTGACCTTTCTTCAGAAAATGTCAAAATGTACTAGAAACCAAGTATATCACTTGTAGGCTACAAAGAAACTGGGCACCTTTGGAGAAAAATTTCCCTTCTTACTATATTTCCCATACTTACTTCAATTTGTTATAGTTCTGATGTGTTCGATTCAAGAATTTTTCAATGTTTCTGTCCACAGAAATGTGAGTGTTGGATTCCACCAGAGTCCTAAGCATTTTACGTGTTTCATGATATTAACGCCCCAAATATTGATTTCCACAATGATACAGTTTGATTGAATGGATAAAAGTGCAACTCTCCGTGTTTCAAATGAACGCTTTTATTTAAAGAAATAACAATTTGCTAAAAAAAAAATGAATCACAAGACTTTTCATTTTGAGATTTATGTCATTTCGAGTGCTCTTTTGGCGTTGTGTTTAAATCAATATCCACAAGCAAAGAAAACAAAGGGCATCCAGGCTTTCCTGTACCCCTGCCACAACAAAATTCTTTGTTTCAAATTTCTTTGTTGATATAGCATGTTTTTCCATTTATCATACATGTATTTGATTTTTCTTCAAATTTTAACCCTTGTAAAGTGAAACTTTATGGCTGTATGTACCGGGAACTGAGGTGGACCCTGAAAAGAATTTTATAAACAATCCTGTTTTTCTTCGGGAATATTGGTATCCTTTTCCATTTTCCCTCTTAGACTATTATCTGATATAGACATTTTCCAAACAAATATAATAACCAAAGCCAACGAACCAACCTCAAAGGTTCAACGCGATGGTGACTGACGACAGCCATTATATTCTCGTGTACTTCCTTTTAGTTTCTAAACAGTCAAACTTTGTATACGTTTCCAAAAATGCACAGAAAATTTGCAGTTCAATTTTTTGGGCAATTTAAATTAGACCATTTGTATGAGAACTTTGATGTCTTCAAATTCGTTTGTAAAGGCCGAATTCGAACACAATGCTATTTCTGAAGTACTTGTATTCCGACTGGTCTTTCTCTTCTTTTCTTGTTCGTGGCTATTTTGGAAACATAACTATTGACAGATTATTTCATTCACTGCCAAATTTTGAAGTGCTGTTAATATGTTGAAAAGAAAGGATAATAACGTTCATTTCAACCTGTTGTCGATTCTGAAATTCTCAAAGTGATATCTCATTTAGCAGATATAACGGCACATATTGAACAGTGACATTTTGCATGTATTATATACCCACGCAAATACGCCACTGAACTATCGGTATGTGATGAAGTAGTAAAGTTTCAGAAACAAAAACAATAATTATTGATATAAGAATACATTCATTATGTATTCAACCAGTTCTCATGAAATAAATTTCAATTCTGATTCAATGGTAAAGGTAAACATGTCAACGTGTCCTTTCTTTATCTCTGTTTTATTCACAGGTGCGTGGCCACTGGGGATTTGGACTTCCATTGTGTGTAATCTATCTAGCTTTAGATGTAATGCTGTGTACTGCCTCTATTATTCATCTTTGTGCTATTGCTGTCAACCGCTATCTAGCCGTAACCTTCCCACTTCACTTCTCACGAGAAAGAGTGAACTCTCGTCCACGGATTCTTGGAACTATTGTACCTGTGTGGATGGTATCACTGGCTATATCTATTCCTCTCTTCGTTCAAGGATTTTTGGACCCTGATAGTACATTACAAAATGAAGGGCGTGATTGCGGGTATTTTAATTCCACGTTCATCGTCTACTCTTCCATGTGTTCATTCTATGTGCCGCTGGCGGTTATGATCGTGGTGGACTGGAGAGCCGTCAGGAAGCTTCGCGGAAGAAAAAAAGCTGTGGAATTTGGAGAACCTTCTCCTCGAACCCCCATTCAGCAGGTTAACAGCAACTCAACAACTGTCAGCTGTGGAGACTCCCCGGCACATGATAACCCTACGGCAAATGGTAGTAAAAGTGTTGATGCAATCAGAAAAAGATCACTTCGAATAACATTCTGTGCTGGAGTGAAAAAGTCCAGTGTTGGTTACGGAAGTACCCAAACAGAAGCAATTAAAACAAGACAACGGTGGATGACAAGCAAGAGAGAACGTCGTGCAGCCAAAACACTTGTGGTTGTGTTTGTGTGTTTTATTGTTCTATGGCTACCTTTCTTCGTCGTTCACCTCCTGAGTGGTGTTTGCTCGTCGTGTCACCCACCCAATGAACTTTTCATTGTGTTTACTTGGCTTGGCTATATTTCTTCAGCAGTTAACCCGTGCATATACACGTGTTTTAATTTAGACTTCCGACGAGCATTTATGCGGATCATAACATGTGACAAGCACCCTAGACGTGTGTCACGACATGCTGATCTTACAACTACCCATACTCTACGGACAAGCTTACGATCATAACTGCATGATGTTCTACGGTTTCAAGCCTTGGTAAAATTACAGTGCGGATGAGCATCACTGAAGGACAAGATATTTTAGTGAAATGAATTTTAGGGTCTAGTTTCCAGTCAAGAAAGTTTGAGACATCTGGACTGGTACAATACATTTTAGGTTCGACGTAAGACAAGTAATGTAACGTTTTCTCAAAGTCAAATATTAAATATACTTACCGCGTGCTCACACTCTGACGCAGTATCGCAGTCTTCTAGTCACAGGAAACTTGTGTGATTCCCCAGAGACGAAAAACTTTTGGCTGTATTATGTTTGCCTTGTTTCAAAATACAATCGAAAGTCTATGCAAAATACTTGGATGAAAACCCGTACAATGAATATTTGTAATAGTTCATTTTGCAATCTATGTTGGTGACTTCTACGGCACCTATAACGCAAGTGCAGTAACACATCTGATACAAAACGGATTTCGGTCATCGGGATTCAAGTATTAATATTATAAGCATACTGTTAAAAAGGGTAAGATTTCTCACAACCTGAAATATATGTGGCTCGCATGATTTCTTCCTCAGCCGTGTCACGTAATTTGCAGCTTTCGAGGTTATTAATTTCTGCACGCTGGCTGTCGTAATACAAATAATTTATTTTAGTTACCTAATAATGCTTCAAATTACTTATAACTGGTATCACAAGCATTGTGTATTTTACTACTTGATTGCATCCATCTTGAAGTACCAGGCGTCTTTCACCGAAAATGTACGGGTATAGCGTAATTTGTTAGAAGTATCGATACGCCCATTCCAAAAATCTGCAAAATAAGATGTACGTATTCGTATATTTGGACTTTCTTTTTTTTCCCAAAATATCTTGGAAATAACAGATTTCTTTCTTTAAATAAACTTTAGTAGATTCCTACATTTGAAAGTCCATAACACGTCAAGAAACTTAAAATAACAATAGTCGCGGAATCGTATAGATGAGAAGTAGGTCATTATATTAAAACCAGCCAGTTAACGGGTCCAGCCTACGCAAACTATAGCCTTACAATCAAAATGTTACTTAAAAAAAAATTCACATGTTATAAAATTCTCAAATTCTCAATTCAGGAATCTTACGAAGTAATATATCCGTCTTGTGTACGAATANGAAAAATGGGGCTTCGAATAAGTAAGATAGTGGTACAATTGTTTCTTGTTTTGTCTCATTTATAGGTATTAAATTAGTTCACTCTCAATGTTCCCTACCGTAATTTCCATCGTCAACCATACAGAGAAAACATGTCAGATCTCTTTCTTCTTTTACTTGTGACAGATAACCTAAAGAAAAAAAAATCCACATATGTCTACAGGTTCGCTGGACCTTTTTAATACCCTTGCATTCTGCTAATTTAAATATATGCTGACTTGTGAATCTGCAATGAATCTGCAAGAACGTATTTATCAGCCCCACAAATTTCTGTTGTGTCAAATGTATGATAAGTGACCCAATTAAAGTTGATGCGTGTTTTTTAAATTAAGCTTGTGGTCATGTGAATTTCATTTCTATATTGCGGAAGTTAGAACGTTTGTTAAAAACCTACCCTGGACTTGGCGGATGTGTATTTGCAAATGCAGCCGTTAGTATGGTCATGAGCACAACAACTTCTCACTCCTTGGTCTCCCAGATTTTTGACATTGCAGTCATATCACTTTTGCCAATACCTTACCTCCTTTTATGATCTCTTAGCTCTGAGAAGATGTTGATTCCAGGTGTATTTCTGCTTTTGAGGCTTCTGTCACTTCCTCCACGGCGGGGAGGTTTTGAACTTCTCTGCTCCAATAGGATGGGACTTGGTATTTGTAGTTGTGGAGGTTTTCTGCAGCACTTGGCTCATCGGTTGAGTACTGCAGTGTTTCCCATGAGCGTCTGACATGAAGGAACCCAATCCTACAGGATTGGGTATTTTCGATGCCTTTCCACTTTTTCATATCCAGTTTTTGTGTACTTTTCAGCATTCCATGGATCCTGAAGTTCTACTTGTTTTGCTTATACCTGATGTACTTGTTACCCAGAGTGATCTTTTCTTGCCGTGCACCCCAAGCACATTTTCACCTCATTGAGTTCAGCACCTCTTTGACGACCTCGGAGACGTTTGAAATGGAAAGACAACAGCGTGACAGCCTGTGTCGCTGCTTTGAAAGCCAGAGGCTGTAAAGAAGGAAGAAGGAGACGAAAACAGAAGCAGTTATAAAAGCGGTTCTCAACAGGACATGGCAAAATTTCAATGCGTCTGATAAACTGAAGTGGGTGTTGGAGCAAAAATGAACGTGTTAACCTGACAACAAAGCAGGCCCTGCATTTGAGTTCGATTCAATGTCCTGGCGCCCCATCTTGGCTGTTACCTTTTGTTGATGCGCCTCGGACACAAAATGATTCACCTGTATGTTGTAAATATGTCATTTACGACCACTTACAAACATCAAATTTCCTCCGTGTTCAACTCGTTCTTGTTGGGGACTTTACCGCCGTCAGTGGTGATTAAATGTGAGGGCTTCAAGGAAGTACCTGGCAATTTTGGGTCTAGCTGCATCAATGACAATTCTCTTTCCTTGCCATCCATCTCTGCATTTTCAAGTTAGCCATCGTAAGTTTCTGATTTAAAAAGTATTTTTCACTTCCTTTCAAGGATTGCCCAAAGGGTAAGGAGCTTTAAATGTCATTGCGCACGCTAGTCCCACTGATTTTTATATTACGGTGTAGTAGCCTCCAATGATCAACATCCGGTTGTGGTCATCAAACACTTTAAATGCACTTGCTGCCACCAGCGCCAACGAAAACCTTTGATTAGCGTCATTGTGAAACTGCGTAACTGCTGTTAAGGAAAAATTAATTAAAGCATGTACCAGCACTGTGCTGCAGTACAATGTGAAGGAAGAGCTCCAGAACATAATAAAGTTTATGAACAGCAGCAAATGTTTATTTCCAGTGATTTTGCCTACTGGTTAAATTAGAAAAATATTAAATTTCGTTAAATAGAAACAGACATTTTAAATAAAAAACCAACGTACAAAAATCTGCTATATGTTTAATAATTACATTTTATGTTTGCAGTTTATCGTAATAGCAGTATTCATAATCTTCAATTAAACTGCGGCAAAAATCGGTGTCTATAAACCGGTCAGGATCGAATCTATTGTATTTCTTGTCGCTTTTGGCGGCAGCTAAAAAGTCATACGCTATTTGTTACTTCTTTGGGATAATTTGCACAGTTTGCACCGGTTTTTCCTTCTCTTATGTTCACAAATAAAAGCTCCACAGCATTTGACATATAGATGTCTTTGTTTCTTATCCTCACAGATTGAAGAGCCTCTGCATTGGATTCATAGGTTTCTTTCTTTGCCGTTGGGACACTTACTCCGATTATAATAAATCAATATTTATTATAAAAAATAAATAATAAATTGCCAACTCATTACAACTGATACGGTTGTATCGCATAATTCCAAATCTTTTTCTTTTTGGCATTTATTACAAAATTTTGTCTCCCTCTTAATATCGATGTTGCATAAATTGATTTTTTCTCTTTTTTATTCACATTAAAAAGTATGACACAGGCGGCTTAGTATTTAACTCAGTTAAACATCGCGATCAAAGCAGTCTGATTGCAGTAAGCACTGAATTAAATTTCTGAGTAATGCCTGCCACTGAAAGCGATTCGACTTAAGGCACATGTACTGCTATACCTAGATTTTTGGTGATATTTAATAAACTGATCTGAGGCACAATCGTGAACAATAAACAACGTGTTTACGACATCAAACGGCTTTTTAGTAAGGATCCATTTTTTCTCTGTCTAAATTGGACAGGTGTACATCGGTGTATATTTCTTAAATAACGTAACGATTGCTTCAAATGCGAACGTGTACTCCCGTTCCAAAATATCTTAGACCTACTGAGTCTTCCTGCTGCCGGTCTTTACAAACAATTAAAGCACAATGCCAACTAAACTTTTAAAGTTACTGTTGCGAACCTTCAATTGCGCATCCATTATCAAATAAACGTAAATGTAGAGCAGAACTGCCTCTATTTCTGCAGACCTATTTCTGCTTGTCGTTCAAGCTGAATCGAAATATCACCAGCACCACCAAGAGGTCTACCAGATCCATGCGCCGAGTTATTGTCGGAACTTCAGAAATCGAGCCAAAGGCCGTACAATTATGTTTCAGGTCGACGCCTGCAAGATTCAGATCTTTACTCTGCCGGATTCCGTATCCGAGTCTCCAAAGAACTAGCTGTGTTGATAATTGAACAGTCCGTGCGAAAATAGCTGATTGGGCGTTAGCGACGGTTACGCTGGTTTTTGTGATATGCGGATTATAAAATCTCTCCGGATTCTTTACAGTGGGATCTTTGAACAAGATCAAAACGCCTTTCAAACCTTTAATCGTTCAATCTATCTTGATGTTCCACAACATGTCTGATTTATTTACGCCCTGCTTTTTCCACGAGTGAATGCAGTCGAACAGATAATACACATAACCCTTATGCTTTCACTGCAAACTTTGGGCCAAGATTCGATTGGTTACAACTTCATATTGCAAAATTAAACCAAAATGCTGTACTCCTCGGCATTGTCTGTGTTTTTATTCACTTTATCGTGCCCGTTTTAAGTCAACTGGTAAGTCAACGTCTCTTTAAAACTCGAGGGATAAAAATGGTCCGTGATCGGACGGCACGTCCAACGGAATGCCATATCTGTTCTTCTACGCGTCGGTGATGGATTTGTCTTTACAATTGTTGGGCTGCTTCGTTTTTGTAGCCTGTTTCCAGTCGCAACTTTGCCACAATTAAACGTTCCTAGCCAAAATGAGCCATATTTTAGTTTGTTTTATCGGCAGCCAATTGTCTTTACAAGTTTGAATTACGTCTGCATCGCGATTTTATTGCCGTGACTGATATTGATTGAGTTCTGAAATTAAGTAACGCACGAGGTTGTTCTATTGGTATCTCGAGTTTAAACGCCATTTTTTGCAGCTGGTACAACATCGTCGTACTCAATGCAGGAAATTTGACGTCTAGCTTGTGACCTGCAGCGTTTGTGTTCAGGTACGTGTAATAGTGACCTCAGGTTTTTCGCTTGGCTTGGGTTCAGTTTTTTGTTTATTGACTCACCATGTTTTATTATAGACAGTTATATATTCTAAACCATTTACCTCCAAACTGCAAACACAAATGAAATAGCGATCAATGATACACCCACTGCGAAAAGTACGTTTTCATATTTGCCAATAAATCACGCTTGTGAAACATTTCGTAGCTCATTTCGTTAAATACCTCTTGGATCTCTAAAACCATGTCACCCCAAGTGATCAATGTCGGCTCGAAAGTCACCTAGCATAGATTTGATGTTTCGAACATCGTATGGGGCGTCGGTTTCCATGAGTCTGTCTATGGGATGTGCTCAACTACGTCCCGTGGTTCTGGTCTTCCCAAAGTAACAACATTTGCTAAATAGATTTTGGAATGCTCGACACCCCTCTCGAGCCCTTTCCCAGCATGTAACCAGTGCAAGTGCTTCTTATGCAAATTTGGCAGTGACTCGAGAGCTATTTTTAGACAGTCTCCTTCAGCGTTGCGGCAGTGTATCACAACTGGCACTTTCAGCTCATCTTTGTGCTGATCGTGTGCCCGAGTGGTAGCCTAAACCAAGTCTCACCGAATACACAGAATTTGGGATGTTCAAGAACCTGGCGATGACAGAGTCGGCTTCTGGGGTGATTTCCTGGCGTTCTTAGGGTGGAAACCAAAAACACCCGTAGTAGTCAATTCTATTCTTTTCTGCTTACAAAAAGTGCCCTCGTCACAGAACATGGCTATACACCCTCTTAAGCCTTCACTGTCGAGGTCAAGGCCAATGAAGAATGAATCTACGCTTCCAAGTGTCCAGAAGAGACTTGGAACAACCTATCAAGGTGGCTGTGGTAGTCTGCAAAATTTTCGGTGCCAGTTGAGGAATCGTTCCATAATAGGAGGCGCTGTAGGAATCTCCACTGGAACAATGAAGATACGCACTTTTCTGACCAACTCATGAAGATCAGGCTCGGGAACGAATGGGCCGTGGCGCTGGACGTGAGGGGCAATTTCCCACCGTTGTTGGCAGGGGAAGAATGGGAACACCCAGGTTGAGGACAAGCTTGTTTCTTGTCACTTAGTTGATTTTGACATTTGCCACCTTTGGATAACTGAAACACCTATCAGGTTTGGGAGACATGTCCTTGCTGTTTACTTATATATCTTATATTCAAATAAACCATTGCTTGGTGATGAACGCCATTTCATGTCTTACCAATTCCAAGAGCTCAATTTGATAATATCCACTACACATATCTAGCGTACTGAAGAATTGAGTTCCTTCCAACACATCTAAAACACTCGTCAATATTTGAGATTGGAAAATCATTTTTCACAGTCACATTGTTTAAAGTTCTGTAGTCAATACAATAATGGACTTTACCGTCTTTCTTCCCGGCAAGGATGGGAAGCCCATTCTGAAGAGGAAGGCTTTATAACTCCTACGGGAAAACAATGAATCTAAATTTTTTTTCCTTCCCTTTCGAACCCCATTTGCGTTCTCCGTTTGCCTGATGGAAATTGTTTGATTTCGTGAAATCTACCTAGATCGATACCATTTTTTAAAAATGCATCGGCATATCCCGCCAATGCGTCAACTAAGATGTGCGATTCGTTTGCACTTAGGTGTTCAGATGATCTTTTCCAAAGGTCTTGAAGGGGAAGTTTCTCGATTTGCTTAAACAAGGGAGGAAGGATTTGCTTAAACAAGGGCAAGCACTTTCCCTAATTCCTACCAACAATACGTTAAGGTCCGGCTAAAGCCGATCCTGACTCGTATTTTTGGTTAGGGTTTGCATTATCACAAGTTTCGTCTGGGACATTAGGCGACAAGGGATTCAGACCAAGCAGAGGCCGGTCTTGATTCCTTTTCGAGAACAAATCAGTCTTTGTATTGTCATATACTTCTTGCACCTCTTCAGCTCTACCTATTACATGACCCCTTTTTCAGGTGAGTATATTCATCGCTATCATTGTGCAACATAATAGCTTAAGCGAAACCCAAGGTGTAGGGTATGAACAATCCTTTTGTGTTCTTGCTCAGGAGCATGGATAATGTAGGTCTTAACCCTGGTCTCAGTTGAGGTCAACATTTGTCTGCAAGTTTTTGTCAAGTACGATTTTCTGAACAGAATACTTTTCTTTCCCAACTTTTCTCATCTGAGCCTTGAATCGGTTTCCCTTGTAGATCG